ACTCATCATGCTCTCACTGCCAAAGGAAATGTACGTCACGCATCGGCCTAGCCGGTCACTTTCGAATCCATAGCACAGAGAATATCGAACCAGTACCAGGAGCATCGGAATACATCACCTCACCTGCCTCTACTGTTCCTACTCTTCACTCACATTCGTTCGTCCCATGGGCCAATTAGGCCAAATACGCATTCATAAAAACCCTCGGTGAACCGTCGTAGACGCAACCACATCATTGCGCAGACATTTCTCCAAAATTCCACATTAATGGCACCTCGAGCGCAAGGGAGAAGTGTGTGTTTCGGCTTCGCTCCGTGTGTGTGGGTATGTGTGTGTCAAAAGGTCTGTAAGCATGTGCTATGCCAGTATCAGCAAACAACGGCCCTCGCAGCCTGGTATGCGCCGGCAGATTCCTGACAACTGGTGCCCTGCCGATGGATGTGATTGCGCTCCTGTTAGGTACACAGGTGGTGGGGATGGTTGTTCAGCCATCCTCGTCGCTCTGGCCCCTGCTGGGTGTGGTTCTTGTTGTTGTTGGCGAAAAATCCTGGTCATTTGCTAAGTGGAACAGGGGGAACACCAAGATGCGGGCTCGACCGTGCCATCCACCTGCGCCGTCCCCCGTCTCCAGTCTTCTTGACTCTGTCTTGACACCGGGTTCAGGTGGGAGGGGGGGGGAGTGTGGTAGATACAACGCAAGTCTACTTCACTATAAATCACGCGCAGGTCACCGTCCCTGCTCTCACCCTGCTGAGGAGCATACGGTGGACACCGTTGGATTCCGACGGTCGAACTGTCGTCGTGCGTGTGCGGGGTGTAGGGGTGTCCAGCGGTGGGTTCACGTGACGGTCGTAGTAGGTCGCTCACTTGCTTGCAGGTTCAGACTGCGCCTAGCGTCCATTTGCTGGCACCCAACTCTCACATGTGGCTCCACGTAGCTGGGCCCTGCCCAGCGGCCACACCACGGTAATCGCCTCCACCGGCGGGCTAAACCAGGTGAGGGTATCCCTGCGTGCGCCTGCCCGCACGGTAGTGTGGATCCCGCTGGCCGGATTGATCATCGCGTCGGCACTGTCGAGACGAGGCCCCGTCTGGACCACCTCAGGAGGCCACGTGACAAATGAACCTACAGGTCCTAGATTAATTCGGGTCGTTCTGCCACTACACTAAAGCCGGGCACTGCTCCTCTCCTCAGCGCCGACGGCAGCACCCCCCTGACTGAGAAGACACAAATTCTACAGCGATGGGCCGAGCATTTCCGAGGCGTCCTCAACTGCCCCTCCACCATCTCCGACGCCGCCATCGCCTGTCTGCCGCAAGTGGTGACTAACTTGGAACTCGACCTCCCGCCCTCTCTCAGTGAAACCATCAGGGCCATGCAGCAGCACTCCAGCGGGAAAGCGCCCGCAACTGACGCGATCCCTGCTGAGGTCTACAAGCACGGTGGCCCCCAACTAATGGATCACCTGACTGCGCTCTTCCAAGAGATGTGGCGTCAAGGAGAATCCTGCAGGATTTCAAAGACGTCACAATCGTGCATCTATACAAGCGAGATGGAAACCGCCAACTCCTCGACAATCACCGAGGCATCTTCTTGATGAATATCGCCGGGGAAATCCTTGCTCGCATCCACCTCAACCGCCCGAACAACCGCATAGAACAAGGTCTTCTGCCGAAACGCCACTGCGGCTTCCGCCGTAATCGTGCGACCACAGACATGATCTTCGCCGCCCGTAACCTTCAGGATACTTGCCAGGAGATGCGGACCCACCTGTACTCTACCTTCGTGGATCAAACGAAAATCTTCGACACGGCGAATCATGACGGACTGTGGGGAATCATGCAGAAATTCGGCTGTCCCAAGAAATTCGCTCAGATAGTGCGTCAGCTGCACGACGGCATGATGGCGCGGGTCACGGACAACGGAGCTGTCTCTGAAGGGCATTCGCAGTGACCAGCGGAGTGAAGCAGGGATGCTCCCTGGCGCCCACCCTCCTTAGTCTTATGTTCTCTGTCATGCTGATGGACACCTACCGTGAAGAACGCCCCGGGCTCCGCATCGCCCACAGGACGGACGGCCACCTCCTCAATCAACGGTGGATGCACTTCCAATCGCGCGTATCCACGACCACAATTCACGAACTTCTCTTCGCCGACGACTGCGCCCTCAACACCGCCACGGAAGTGGACATGGACCTCTTCTCCGCTGCCCGCAAGAACTTCAGTCTGGTCAGTAACACGGAGAAGACTGTAGTCATGCACCAACCGCCACCCAACACAGCCCCTCCCCCCAACGTGCCTCAAATCAGCATGAACGGAACCCAACTGCAAGTGGTGTACAACTTCATGTATCTGGGCTGTACCCTTTCCCGCAGCACGAAAATCGACGATGAAGTAGCCCGCCGGATTTACAAGATCAGTCAAGCCTTCGGCCGCCTTCAACGCACAGTTTGGCCTCGTCACGGTCTCCAGCTCAGCACGGAGCTGAAGATGTACAAGGCCGTCATCCTCCCGACGCTGCTGTACGGAGCTGGGACATGGACGGTGTACACGAAGCGGGCACGCCGACTCAACCACTTTCGCCTCAGCTGTCCTTGTCGCATCCTGAGACTCAGATGGTGGGGTCGCATACCGGATACTGATGTACTGGAGCATCGCCGCCGCCAAAGCCAAACGTGAAGCACGCATGTCTCAGGTGTGCCCATCCAGCCGCAGAACCGCCTCCAACGTGTCCACGGTGTCAACGGACATTCCAGGTACGAATTGGACTTGTTGAACACATTCGGATCAACTGTACCACTCGGACCGCACCAAACGTCTTTTCTCCGTCTACCTCTTCCTCTTCATATTCCATATTCATATTCTGACCGCCCTCCTGAACCACCACTTCCATCTTCCTCCTCCTCCTCCTCCTCATCCACCGACCCGGCGTCTGCCATGCAAATCAATACTACACACAATCCTGAAACACCATAAAACGCCAACACTACAATCTCCGACACTAGGGGTTAGGACCAGGACTACATCTGTCCTAACTGTGACTGCACCTTCACCTCACAAATCGGCCTGGTCGGTCACTTGAGAATCCAGAAACTGGCGAACCAGTGCCCGGAACACCCACCCACACCCGCCGTGCCAGCCTCCATTCTCTTTGTTGTTGGCGAAAAATCCTGGTCATTTGCTGTGTGGACCAAGGGAGTGTGGAATGGAACGCCAATATGCGGCCTCGACCGCGCCATCCACCTGCGCCGTTCCCCGTCTCCAGTCTTCTTCACTCTGTCTTGACACCGGGTTCAGGTGGGAAGGGGGGGAGAGGAGGAAGTGTGGTAGATACAACGCAAGTCTAATTAACTATAAATTACGCGCAAGTCACCATCCCTACTCTCACCCTGCTGAGGGGCATACGGTGGACATCGTCGGATGCGACGGTCGGACTGTTGTCGTATGTGCGTGTGTAGAGCAATTTTTGTTGGCATTGTAATGTCTTATCCGCCTGCGAACAAATGCCAAGATAAAGCCCCGTATGACACGATCCACGTCTACCGACAGTTAAATGGGGCGCTTCACCCTACCGTTACCGGATCCTCTGCCGAATGTGAGATCTCAGCGTTCTATCGCTCTCGTATGTGAAGTCCTGGCGCATGCGTTTGGGGGCCAGTTAGTGCATGTTGCGCGCTCAGACGAACTCCCTAGTTCTGTCAGCCATTCCGCCCATTCCCCGCACCAGACATCTTACCGGCTCGGACAGTTGCTGGCACCTGGAAATGGGAAAAGAAAGTGAGGTTAATGTCTCAGCGCATTTCCCTTACTATAAACAATCTGACGCGCAGGTAGCTGGCAGGGCCGGTCCCCCACCTAGGCGAACCACCACACCTCTTGGTCCACAACAAATACTTGACCAGGATTTCAACCAACAATAAAAATGTGGAGGGGATCGGCAGGGATCCTGATTGGCACGACGTGAGCCGGCAACTGGGCCTGCCACAACATTCCGAATTTTGTCATGTCGTAATGTTGTATAAGTTTTATTCAACGTCATCTGCAGCCTCACCACCTCATGGCGTAGTTCATTCCGTAGGGAGTTTGACTGATGTTGACCTTAATGTCTTCCAACACAGAAATACGTTTTGTATGCATATACCCTTACGTACCTTACCAGTTACCCTAGTAAACCAAATTGAATGCTTGTTTCACAGACGAGTTCGAGTGCAATCTCAGACACTCGAAAATTGAAGGAACCCAGTTTCTCTAAGAAAACTTCCACTTTACAGTTGCCTGCAACTCTCCCTAACTGCACGACCCCAACTATCTCAACTACCTCAACTATCTCCCAGGTCTTATACCGAAGCGATTAAACCGAATATGCCAATATTACCGTTTAAGAATGAAAGCCCTGCTTCTGTCTAAGCAGTACGCTCCCCCCACAATCCAGCATGTACCCTTCACAGTTGTATTCCCAGTGGAATCCTCATGCAAATGTTCGTACACTCACCCGGTCCTCGTTGTCACCTCGGCGGGAATACGCTGCAGTATCCTGCCAATGGATGTCCTATAGGAACCCAACTAGCTGGCGGCAGTAATCAGATTCCTTTCCTACTATTTTCTCCCGAATAGCTTATTCCTCTTGTTTCACATCGGGCGCCACAAATTCTTTTACAGAACCGGACAGAAGCCTCTGAGCCCTATGTTTCGTGGACAGTCAACCACTGTATGACGTAGGTCACCTCATTCAGAAACAAACAGTTCGTCCCTTAAAGTTTTCATTGTAAATGCCAGATCCTTGCTAATAAGACGTCCTGCTTCAGACGCTGATGTTCCTCTGCTGTTCAGATACTGTTTTGACAACTGAGACATGGATAAAATCTTTGTAGCTGACTCTAAGCTCTCTCTCTTCTAGGCTGCTCCAACATTCGAAATGATTATCAATACAGCCGTGGTGGCAGAACCTGTGCCCCACAAACGGGCCACGTGATAGACGTGCTGGACCAACACAGGGACCATATCGGATTCGGACGGGCTTTATCGGATTGCACACCATAACAAATGTCAACATTTCGGGATGCGGTGGCAAGCTCGGTTGCCGGCAGCCGTCGCACACACTGGGACCCCTGCCGCCGTCCCCATTGTTGCTGTCGGTCAAAAACCTGGTCATTTGCTGTGTGGACCAGGAGGTGTCGAGCGGAGCGCCAAGCTGAGTGCTCAACCGTGCCACCCACCCGCGCCCTCCTCCGCCGCCGGTCATCTTGAGTCTGCCTTGACACCGTGTCCAGATGGGAAGGAGAGAGTGGGCTAGATGCGGTGCAAGTCTACTACCACTATGAACTAACGCGCGCACAAGTCACAGTTCCTGATTTCATATTGCTGTGGAGCACACGGTGGACATCGTTGGCAACTACGGTTGCACTCTCGGTGGGAGATGCTGAGTCTATGTTAAGCAAACACTTGTATTTCTGCCGCCGAACCTTCTGCGTTTTCCACTTTGAAAATTAGCACTTTTTACATTTTAGTTGTGCCTGTCGCCCACTCAACTCCAGTGAATATTTTGATTTTTGGCCCCCGCAGGCCATTCATGCTGTAGCCGAATCAGTTGGTTGCGAGTGACTTCAGTCTCCCTGAAGTTGGCTGGCTTCCGCATTCCGACACAGAAAGCTTAAAACACTACTCGAGCCTGTGAATGTCGGCATGGGGAATCAGCTTATTGATTTTCCCGCTCGAGGGCCGGACATCCTTGAGTCGCTTTTCTGTAGAAGTTGTCTGCCTTCCTCGGTGTCATTTCTATACCCACTCGGGGGTTCAGATCACGACACAGTTGCTTCCAGATTAGAACTTTGTCACCTTTTCGGGATTGGTTGCATCAGTTGAAATTTGGCCTTGACGAATTCGTATGTGACATCTTGATCGATATGCCCATCGATGCATGCTTCATCTGAGTGTGTTGCTTCCAGGAATTCGCATCCTTATTGGGCAGGCGCCAACAATGCGAGTGATCTCCCACGCGAATTTGTGCCAGTGTCCAATGTATGCATGGCCACCTGGGGATGGATGGTCGCGACCCTTCACCGCTAGCTGATGTTCATGTACACAGACTGAGACAGATTCCACATTTTGGCCACAATAGACAGCATCACAACTGGGGCATGGGATTTTGTAGACAAAATCCCTTCTTTCGAGGTAGCCAAACCTGTCCTTAGGGTGTACAAGCTTTGTGCGTAAGGTAGTTACCGGCTGGTGTGCTACGTGTATCTTGTGTTTTCTTAGATATTTTTCGACAAATTCAGATAGATTTTTCACGTATGGGAGAATTCGCCAGGTGGTTGGTTTTGTTGCCCGAGTGGCCGTTGCATTAAAAATACCTTTTCCCTTGAATTGCTGGTGCCTCATGCATTGGCGTACAAATTCACGCGGGTACCCATTTTGGGAGAATAGTTTGCAGAGGCATTTCATTTCTGCTTGATAACGTGTTTCATCAGAGCAACGAGTTTTAGCTCGATTAAGAAGGCTGTAGATTATAATCCATTTGTGAGAGACCGGGTAGTTACTGTCAAAGTGTAGGATGACCTCTGAATATGCCTCTTCGATAAACTGACCTGGGAAGGGATCCATCGGTTTTTCGACGTATAAGGACATCCAGGTATGGGAGTTGTCCAGCAACCTCTGTTTCGAAAGTAAACTTGATTCCTGGAAATATAGAATTAATATTGATATGGAGCAGCTTTAAATGATTTTTCTTGACAATGGCGAAATTATTATCTACATAGCGTAGCCAGAGTTTTGGGTTACCTCTGGGAATAGCCATGGTACCTTAGTTCTGCATTACGACCTCTGCTAGAAAACCAAATATGAGTGAACCTATGGGAGCGCCTTTTAATTGTCGATAGTATTGTTTTGAGGAGGAAAAGTTTGTTTCCAGACAGAGGTCTAGGAATTAGAGTAAAGCGTCTGCAGGCACGCCAAAAGCTTGTGCTTGAAGGAGTCTTTCGATGCAGCTCCCCGCTAAATCTAGTGGAAGTGAGGAGAAAAGCGAGACCACATCTGATGATTTTATTACAATTACATTGATTTTATTTGGGACCCTTGGGGGTCCTACCAAAGCAAGTTAAATAAATTTATATGTGAATTTAAGAAGAGATAGAGAGCATCTGTACAGCATTCAGTTCATTCTTATAGAATAAAGAGTCTTGCCTCATCTGCCCGCGTCTTTTGAATTCGGTTTGAAATTTTCGCTCTCCGGGGGATTTAACTTTTCCGAGTCTCCTGAGTCCTGGACACCCTGACGGCCTCTCGGAATTAACAAGTCGATTCTTCATAGCAATATCTGGATCCACACAGAATTTCAAAGGGAGTTTCGTCCGGAAAACCTGTCACCTTCCGACCACATCTGACAGTCGCACCGCCATATTCCCGAAATACAACAACGGCTGAGTCGTTTTCTACTTACTTTATACCGTTGGTCTCGCTTTAAATCGTTTCCATACCGTTAAAAACGTTTTAAGTTTATTGGATTAATAATGGCAGTCGATTCACGGTCCTCCAGATATTGGGCAAAAAAAACCGCCTCGGGACGGATTCGAACCCGGGCACAATAGTGATGCTGACATTGTCGCTACCACTACGCCATTGACGCGCAGCAGACGGCTTGACAAAAATAATGAAATAACAGAAAGACGCCGTGCAAATGACTATTGCGATAAGTCTTCGGCTGTCAAATCACCTCCCGCCAAACGCGCAAGGAGTCTAATAACTTTATTGGATGTTAAATGCGGGGACGAAACCTGCACGTCATGTTTTAGACTTCTTCAGAAAATCTTGGAGATGGAGAAGGATATAAGGAACTTAAGATTTGAGATGGAGAAGCTGATGAAACTGCCTCACTATTCACCCGAAAGGAGAAAGATGGCGATGTGGGAAGTTCAGACGATGACCGAAAAAACGGCCAATACGACTTCAATAACTGTATTAGCCCCTGAAAAAAAGACAGCCCGTCTACGGACTCCATTGCAACCGAGACCATATCTCATGTGCGAGCGCAAAATAACCGAAGGGCATCTCAAAAAACCAGGAGACGTCTCAAAGCATCCCAAAAGGACCAAGTATGTCAGAGCGCCAGCAGGGGAGAGCAGAGTCCCCACAGCAGACAAGAAGATGCCTCACTGACGCAAGAGGTACCTCATGACCAGGCAGCCTCGATAAACGAAGAACCCTGCGGTAGCTATACCATGACAACTGTCGCTGAAGAGGACATTGATGACAACAAAAACTTTCGGGATGCCAACTGTGCGTATAAAAATAAACGACAGCGCCCTATTGATCGCAATAAATGCATCATCGTAAAGGGTATGCCTGAGTCTTCTTCAGACGTCCCAAAGAACAGAATAAGCCACGATATAGAATTATTCCAGCAATACCTCAAATCCCTATTACAAGAGAACGAGAACATCCCCGTATTGAAAGCTTTCAGGATAGGACCCATTAAGGATTTGGAGGGCGAGTCGGGCCATCACAGACCATTAAAAATTATTCTCGAAAGTGAGGAACAAGCACTATTACTGTTGAATAGGAAACCAGCACTGCGAAATGCCCACCCAACATTTTTTTTTTCAACGGGATTTCTCACCGGCAGAACGGGAGAAATGGAGGGAACTCAAGGCCGAACTCCTCAGAAGATTCAGTGCCGGCGAGAAAAACCTAAGAATAATGAATGGCAAAATCGTAAATGTTTGGAGCTCATTCCTCTGGAAACAACCAATAACACTGAGCATAATGAACAACCAGATAATAAGGAAAGAACGTCCCTATCGGACAAACCGATCAGAGAAAACGACGGACAACACACTAACATCCAGTCCAATCAAACAGCAGTAGACTCGGAAGAGGACGATAGACCCGAAGACTCGCGCGAAGTATCCAGCAACTTCGGCCCAAGAATCGTTAGGGAATCTGCCCGGTCTAAGCTCCGCTTTCTTTATGCAAATGCTCAGAGTTTGTTTCATAAGCTAGATGAGCTGAAAGTATGGATAACAGATACGCAGCCGGATGTCCTTTCTATCACAGAGACCGAAGTCTTGGATGCCGAAATAACACTTGAGGGATACCAACTTTTTCGCCGGGACAGACTGCATAGGAAAGGAGGGGGAATAGCGGTCTACGTCAAGAGAGCAATCATCGCGTCGGAACACAAAACCGATTGCTCCGGCGACTGTGAAGCAATGTGGTTAAAACTGAGGATGCGTGGCGCACCTAATTTGAATTTCCTGACCGTATACAGGCCACCCAATCAAACTGATGAGGTTGACGAGGCGATGTTTGGGCTAATTAAAGAGGTGTCACAAAACCAAGAGGTACTGATAACCGGAGATTTCAACGCACCCATGGTCGATTGGAACAATTTATTAGTAAATGGTTCGCGAAATTCGTTTGATTCCAGGCTCTTGAAACTAACGGCTAATCTCTTTCTGGTACAAAAAGTCACGTTCCCAATCAGGATCAGAGCGGACCAAAGAGCAAATTGTCTGGACCTCGTCCTTACAAAAGACCCGATTAGCCCTGGCGAACTTAGGTCCATAACACCGCTCGGTAAGAGTGACCATGTCATGCTGTTTTGGGAATACCGCCTATGCAGCCAACAAGCGAATACGACTGAGCCTAGACTGAATTTCTGGCGAGGAGATTTTGCCGCCATGAGAAGGGGATTATCGGCAGTGGACTGGGATGACTTTCTTTCCGGACATCCAGACGTTGATTGGAATGCTCTCAAAGGAGTTGTAACAGACATCATGCATCGAAACTGTCCGACAAAGAGAGTCAAAAAGAATAATCGTCCTGCCTGGATAACACGGGATATAAAGAAAGAAGTAAACCGGAAAAACAAACTATGGCGTAGGTATGCAACAACAAAACAACCATCACATTACGAGCAATTTCGTCGAAAGCGAAACGAGGTAAGGGGGGCTATCCGCAGGTCGCGGAAGAAGTATGAAATGCGAGTTATGGAACGGGCCGTCGATAAGCCAAAAGTGCTCTTCAGTTACATAAACAGTAGGTTAAAGAACAAGGAGACGGTCGCAGTGTTGAAAGGAGAAAACAATGAGGATATCATCGAAAATGACGCTAAGGCAGAAAATCTAAGCCGGTTTTTCGTATCGGTTTTCACCGATGAAACGGACTTTGACGAGGCTGGATCTCCTGCTGGGACAACCGACGAAATAATAGAAAACATCGACTTCACGGAAGAAGATGTGAGGAAGGAACTTCTAGCGCTTAAGGAGGGCAAGTCTCCGGGCCCAGATCAAATTCCGGCAAAAGTGCTAAAGGAGTTGTCTTGCGAACTCGCCAAACCGCTTTGGCACATCTTTAGGTCCTCCTTTGACCGAGGCATTCTCCCCTCTGATTGGAAAGTGGCGAACATATACCCCATTCACAAGGGCGGATCCAGAACAAGTACAAACAATTATCAGCCGGTGAGCCTAACGTGCATTTGTTGTTATTTGTATAACTTAGACCTAGGTCCTTTATGATGAGGCATTCTGAGAGTGGGCTATTCTGAAAAATTATGGGACCAGTAAGTTTGGCAGCACCAAAAGACATGAAACTACACTTGGATGATGAAAACTCCATCTGCCATGTCGAACCCCATCTGCTTAAGCGTAGTAAATCGGCATAAGTATTTTCAACACAAGCATTTGCGGAATCCTTAGAATATGAGTAAACATACTTGAGGTCATCGGCATAAATAAAAGTTTGCAAATTTCTGAGTTCGGTCAAAATATCATTTATGTAAAGAAGGAGGAGTAGCAGACCCAAAACAGTGCCTTGAAGTACGCCACTCGTGATCGAGTGAGGCGTTGAGTAGCTATTACCACCACGACCTTCTGATATTGGTTAAATTGATATGACCCGATGAAGTCAAGTAGAGGCGGCCGGATGCCGAGAGCTTCCAATTTTTATCAAAAGACGTCTATGGAGCACTTTGTCGAAGGTTTCGCTATGATCAAAGTAGATAACTACCTCCGACTGCCGCTCATTACGAAGAGAAGTGATTAGGTTAAGAAACGCCAAGTGACAAGTTTCGCGGAATCGTTCAGGTAAAAATCTATGCCGCCTAGAGCTCAGAAGCCGATTAGCTAGACAGAAGTCAAGAATTTCATTGAAAATAATCATTTCAAAAAGCTTTGCTAGAGACGGTGTTTTGTGTACGCCCCGATAGTTATTAACATCGGACCGAGATCCTGACTTGAAGACGGGAATGATAGTTGATGTCTTCCATGTTTCAGGAAAAGATTCTTTTGAAATATGGACAGAGAATGAATAACTTAGCAATATAGGAAAGTCGGATGTCTGTTTAATAATCGAATTTGGAATCTCGTCCGTTTCCGAGCAGTGTGACTTTTCAAACAACTGATGGGTTTATAATAAGATCTGAAGAGACACCGATTGTATTCCATGTCCTATCTAAAAGTGGACGAAATAAAGGGACTAATTCGGACTCAGTATTAAAGGGTTTTACAGAAAAGGCATTAAACAACTCTGCCTTGTCAGTGTCATCGATGTTGAAGATTTTGTTATCGTTTAGCAGGGGTGCAATTTCGTGACCACGCTTAGAGGAGGACCGATGACGGAAGATGTTGGCGATGATTTTGACAGGGTTCGAATAACTGAGGGCAAGTGATTCTCTTTGTTTATCGCGTTCTTGGCGCATCCTTGAGGCCATCTCAAAAATCTTTGTGATTTTAAGGTGAACTGATAAGGAACAAGTGAATGGGTCATGCAGCTGCCGTCTCAACTTTTTTAGTCTGTTGCAAAGAAAATGACTAACAAGGAAATCCGAGGAGGCAGACTTGAGATATCGACGAGGCACAAACTCTGAACTTTCTTTGGAAACATTGGACATGGCATCACTACAGGAGATTAGGCCACACCAATCAAATTTTCTAATATAGTTATTTATTAGGTCGTCATCCACGCAATCGTAACTTAGGTAAGTCCGAATTGTGCTGGTCTTTCTTGAAAAGGCAAGCTGGAAGAAACAATTAATTAATATGTGGTCACTATCAAAAATGTCCTTTTTGAAAGCAACAAAATAGGGACAATGTCATCGTTAAAGAGGAGATCAAAAATGTGATTATTTCTAGTCGGAGAACGCACCAGCTGGGACCAGTTACAAAAACTGACAATATCTTGAAAGGGCTGGAATCTAGATAGACAGCTATTGGAAACCCAGCCTATTTCAGGAAGGTTAAAATCTCCACCGATTAGTTTAACATCGAAAGCAGCTTCGAAAATTAATTTGAAGATTTCACAGAGTCGTAAATAATCACTGGCTGAGAAGTTTGGAGGATTGTAGATAAAGCCAAGAACTGCCTTTCTTTGCGACGAGAGAATAGAAGATGCAAAGCAGAAGTTTCCCATGAAGGAGGAGGCATCCAGGTAGTAGTGAGAGGGTTTTAGGTAGGATCGAAGACAAAGACTACAACCAACCCCACGGCTAGTTTTGCGGCCTTGGTGGATAAAATCTAAGTGATTTATAAGAATAGCTGAGTCGGGAATTAGAGAGTGGGCTCAAGATTCTGTTATACATGTAATATCAGGCGTCATTTCGAGAGTAATGGCTCTGATTTGGGCCATCTTGTTTATAACAGATCTGAGATTCAATAGTACAATATTTAGCGCATTTCGAATAGCAAAGCTATTGTGGACGGTATCTAGAAAAAATTTGGTGGTGGATATGCATGTCGTGAATAAATGTTAATTGGCGAATAATTACCAACGAGTCCAGAGTTAGTGACTTAGGTGGAGACAGCAAAAGATGGCTAAGCGGGAGACCTAAGGCACAGGTGGGTATAGTTTTCGGACATTAGAATGCTAGTGTAATTTGAACGGGTATAGACTTGTTGATAGTTTATTTGCGGGCAGGAGGAGGAGGGAGTCTCGAAGGAAGGTAGGGACTAGTGGGGAGTTTAGTTAACACATAGAGTATTAGCCAGTTTGAATTCAACTATTTTACGGGAAAGTAGTATGTCATTTTAAGTGTCAGTAACTATGTTTAGTGGATAAAAGACAATAGAAATGTCGCGAATAGACGTCGCTGAAATATGTTCAGCAGTATCGTGGCAATGTTTAAATGTTAACGTAAGTCGTCAAAACGACGTCTGTTTGATACTTTTGACACGTGTGATGATTTTTGATCCATTTTTTAAATTCAAAGTCCTTACGGATGTGGACATAACGACATTCATATGCAGAGCACTCCAGGTTTATTCATTAAGGCGCGCGATATCTGAACGCAATATGATAACATTCATGGTATAGGGATTCCAAAGCGCCAGTGGTTGCCTCTTTTTGTTGAAGACAGACTAAAGCGAGCATTCTGGTACTAATTTTACGGCTGTCATATCATTGTTTTGAATGTGACTGAAGCCTAGGGGTCGTTTCGAATCTTTGAGTCAAAATAATTTCTCCGACACCCCATTCGTTCGGCTATCCGTCAACCAACCTGCTATTGGACACATGAAACCATTGACCACCGATGAGTTTCACACACCCACTGAGAGTCTTTGTACCTTCGATTCCCTGCCGTATTCTGATCGGGGGAAATGTATTCGCATGTCGCGGACCCTAGTTGCACGTAATTTCAGTGGATGTATTCGCTAATTCGTTATGCTAGCTTATTTAGAAAAGACATCGGGTACAAGGCAACAGTTCTACTAACAGATGCAATGGAATAATTGTATCAGGTCACCTTATAGTTGTTTATAGCTCAACGGAAATGGTTAGAGATAAAGCAGATCTTTTCATGGGGTAGAGAGCACTCTACTTTCACCATTTTGCTTGCCACCTACGTGCTTTTTCGAGGGTGTTGATGTCCTTAACGGTCCAGGATCTCTACAATTAGGTGACAAAATCCAGTTGAGGTCGTAAAAGCGTTCCAAAGCATCTACTGGAAGTCTTCATCGGAGGTTGCAAAACCCCGCTAGACACTGTAAAGAATTGATACTGCGAATTTTACCACCTGTGTGCAGTACGGCGATGACTGAGGTGCAGGCCAATTTATGCAAGCCTTATAATTGAAATCGTGAAATTAAATGAATAAGCTGAGATTGTTCATGTTGCAGATGCATAAGGAGGGGTAACGAAACGCACAGGCCTTGTGGAGGCAGTAAGAATAGTTTGCGGATAGACAATGCTCATTGCGACAGACTTTGCAGGTTACTCATATACGATGTTTTCGACGCAATCCGAAATGCTGATTGGGGATCATGTGAGTAGACAAGTCCGATGGAACTGTCACTCCAATCACGTCATAAAGTCCTGCTTAGAGTCTTCTGATCATTCCTCCTACCCCCTGAATGCAGGCTTTTTAAGGAACATCCTGATATGATGTGGAATTCCGGAAAAACTTGGGTAGAAGAGGCTACTGTAAAGTCAGAATAAGTCCATCGCATAAACTTGCCGCATCCGTCGTCAGGCATCACGTCAACAATATACTATCACTGAATACTTGGCATACGTCCTTCCTTCAAGTAAGTTACCGATTAATAAAATCTGTTTTCTTTTATAACTTCTACATGCTAGTTATGGGCTGGCCTCGCTCTTCACATTCATTAAAGTTTTCTACTTTTTGCTCGTTTGACATTGCTTTTCCTACGTTTTCTTAATGCTTACCATTTTTTTCATTTTTCTGTCCCACATTTCCCCTTATTTTAAGTATTATCATTGCAGTTGCACTGTCTCTGGCCGCCATAAGGTGCGCATCTTCTACCTTCTCCGGCCATAATCCCCCATTTCTTGATTTCTGACGTGCATAAGACGGCATAGCTCTTATCTAGCGCAATATTTAATTTTCGAGCAAGCCTTGTTTTTGTACTTTTGAAAGACCAGGAAGTCGTGAGGAAATATACTGTGTATCTCAGCATACTGAGGGTCTTAAGGCGTTCCCGGTGTTCCATATGTACTTCTGACCCAGGAAAGATATTTTTGTTTTCGAATCCGCAACATCCGTATCTTAAATAAATGGCCCCGACTAGGATTCAGTTGCTGCTGGTTTGACCGTCAACTCTCAGATCCGGAATCTAGTCCTGCATCTCTCAAGAGTCCTTTTTGACCTGTCTTTACGTCAAATGCCACACGTAGGTTTTGTGGCTGCAGATCGGCGAGTATTAGTTCTGCATTGTCGTCCTGTGCATGTGTAAATTTTGAGGTAAGTAAACTCAGAAATCATGTTCCAGCTTTCGTGTGCTGATGTATGTACTCACAAAACCTATTTAAGTACTGATGACTGGCAATTGTACTTATGAGCGGAGAAGCAAAAACGGAGACTAACTGAGCATAAATTGAGGGCATATTTGCCAGGGGATGGGCTCAATTGTTCGATGGTCAGGCGTTCTTTCAAAATGGATTGCCATAGAATATCCAACTGGATACCATGTCTGCTTACATCCGTCGTTTTGCTTGATATTGTCTTGCAAGACGGCTGGAGGTGGGCGCGGGCGCAGTGGTCGACAAAGCTGAACAGCCCGTCTACATTCTTCATACACGACCCGGTTCACGTACTCACGTAATTAAAGGTTCCTGATCCTGATGTTAGCGCCATTTAATATCCCAGCCCTTTTCTAGCCATTTGCTGTCCCAACTTCACCTTGGAAGCATATACCCATAGGCTTAAAATGCCAAAAATAAGTCGGCTGTTACCTAGAAGTCTGCTGTCGTTGAAACGTCGGACGACATTATACGTGAAAAGGCACTAGCAAGGGTGTGCTGACTATGCGATTATTACGCTGCCATAATTCATGACATACTGGTACACGTCTCCTATACCGATGTTACGATGCGCTAAGGAACGTTTGCAATGCCCTCTAAGAATTTCATTCAAACCCCTTATCTTTAACCGTCAACCCTCCTCGCGGGTAGTATTCATGTAATAAATGGCATTAAAGTCTTTTCAGGTACAATGTCGTCGGACGTTTCAGCGACAGCAGACTTCTAATTAACAACCGACTTATTTTTGGCATGTTAAGCGTACCCTCAAGAACGGTGTGGACTCTTGTTATTCTGAAGTCCTGCTTCTCAAAAAGTCCACTAATATTAAATTTCGTTAAGAGATTTTGGACAGCAGTTACTGCACAGGTTTCCTGACGGGACTATGTGCCGTTTATCCTCCCTGCATTCTAAGCTAAGTCCCCTTTGAACGTGCGCTAGTAGAATTGGCCGTCTTACCTTTTGATAGAACAGAAAAGGCGAGTTTCCGGAAACAGCCGCAAAGAGGAGCCAAACGCTAGAACAAGTACCCTTGTTTCAGCAATCCTGTCTTCTTTGTAAATGTTGAATGTATGTTTAGATTGTCCCGTCAGGTACTGTTGCATGAATAAAACCCCACCGCCTGTTGTCCGGGGTGATGACGGAAAGCACATCACAACCCCGTAGACCTGACGCCCGCATGACAATCGAAGGCCGCTCCGCCGTTTTGTTAGCTCTCTGCTAAATGGCTTTCATTTCTGCGCAGAAGGGCAAATTTTTACACAAGTATTTTGATTTGTATTTGCTGACGACAACTGCTTTTTTCCTTATGGCCGCGTCGGCCACGGTCATCATCGACATACAGTAGTTGACTGAGTTTCGCCACAGTGAGGGGATAGAAAAACTTGAATCAAGCGAGTTATACCGTTGGCTTCACGACTTGCCAATATAATGGACGGGTATTTAGCTCACAATTTGACGCTTTTGGCTATGGTGTTTACAGAGGAGGCGGCGCAGTAGACTTCGGTCTCCTCATTGGATGCAGTGGTGACCGAATGAGACATTAGCGTCAGCGCAGAACATACTGCAGTCGGTGATGTTGGGTTCGACGATTAACTGTTCTAGTTGACAAGTGATGAGGATGGTCAGTGTGATTGAGGTGTATGTAAAGTGCAAAGAGAGATATTTAATCCAATTTACATTACACTGGGATGATTCAAATGACGAAATAACTATCATTTCTTTGCAGCTGTGCGATGCATTTCCTGGAACTTTCGTAGAGCACGCCTTTGCAATAAGTTGCAGATTATTTTCCTGCGTCATATGATATATGCCATAATGAATGGCCAGAAAATGAAGCGGTAGTCGTCCGTCTGAGGGGGCGGGGCATTTCAGTTCAGGTATGTTAGCACAGGCGACGTCGCAATTCGGGTATTTAGGTTGAGAGAAGCATCTCTGTCGGTTTTACCCTGCGGTAGTCTTCCCCATACTCAATTCATTTGGCAGGAAACTCCGGCGTGCGTGATGCCTCATTCAACTGCAGCTACAGCCGTCGCAGACACTCGTTATTGACGCCTGCCGGACTTTTCAGGTTAGCTTGCACAACCTTTTCTCACCAAGTGCGGTACTACGAACGTGCGCCCGCGCACCTGAATTACCGCAGTCACGTCGTGCAAGTATGCGAGGCCTGCGCTCATTGTCCTAAGATCGTGCGTCGGGCAGCATGACGCACCGCAGTCGAAGAGCACGCGTATTATTGGCGTCGCTCATCGAAACGCGACGGGGCTACAGAATGGGCCTGTATATGTGACCGATGTGCATTGACTCGTGCGTCTGTCGATAGGGTGTCCCTGCCTTAGGGCAATCACTTATCTCAATCAATCAATAAGCTATTGTTTTCATCACACTCGGCACATACGTTAATACCCTGCCAGCCATCTACCATTACGTGTTAGCCACTTGATAAATTTAAGAAGTCCAAAGAGGTCAACACAACATGTCTGTTTTTCATGAAACGCTTGGAATAATTTAGTCTACTACCTATTTTACAGTCTGAGAATATTTGTTTCTAAAATTGTCTTAGTGGGTAGATTACTACATCAGCGTTAAAAGAAGGAGCAATAACTATCTGCGCGACTGCGTTTATAATTAACGCAGCAAGTTTTACTAGTAATAAGACTGCGCCGTAGTGTGATCAATCCTGGCCGCTGGACAGACATAGGATCTCCCCCAAAATCTGCATTGCAACAACCTGTCCGAAACCCCTGCCTCAGTGTACATTTGCCCCAGCAATTCATCCCGGCCGTTTTTTAAGAAATCCGGACAAAACTTAAGATGAGCATCCGTTCACACTGATTGGAAAATCGAGTTCGAGTTGTTAACCAGGATCGCCGAGTTAGACTAGAACAGAATTTGAAACTTCGCAAAGTTTTTGATGGTGAGAGTGCAAAATACTGGTGATGAGCTTTGCCAGATTAATTATTTACTATTTAAATGCCCGAGTACGTTTTATCGTCAAAAATTTCATTACAGCAAGAAAAATCCGCCCACTTTTTGCTTACAGACATAGGACTGTCTGAAGACAGCGATTTTAACTATGCCTAAAATTATTCGCAAAGCCCACATTGACTTCACAGGCTATGCATAAAGTTTGTTCGCATGCTTACATGCCCATAAAACATCTCAAAAATAGTAAATTTCTAAAAGGACGCTTCAACTTGATCCAAGTAATGCACTGAAACCGAAAACCGTTTAGAAACGAGACAAGGTTATTACGATCGTAATGAAACGTGCTCAAAAAGTATCTTTATTACTCGAGCCCCTACAAAACACTAGATATCACGCACTTTAAAAAAGTAGATGTACTATCTCAGGAAATGTTGGCCAGAATTTCGAAATGTATTTTCGACTGGAAGAAATAAGTTAAGTAGGGTTGTAATGTTAGTGATCATGAGCAAAATCCCGAGATATTTCAGTCATATCATGATGTTGACTTTCGAACGAGCTTCTTTCCGACCGTCTGAAAAAAACTGAACTCTGTAAAAAGTGGCCACATAAATAGTAGTGAGTTCCGTAGGAACGATCCGTGAGCGTCCCCCTCTACCATAGTAGGAATTTTTCCCATTGATCTTCGATGCCCTTATAAACTCAATTATGCTTTATAGAGGAAATGCACGGAAATATTTGTTCTCTCACTTATTTCATAGCAAATCGCGTCTTTTTCAAATTTTATACTTGAAATAAGAGTATGATTAGGTTTTGAAGAACTTTCAGTTCCCTAATAACTGTGGACCCGACCTGCCGTGACACTTGCATTCGAGGCCTCCAAACTCCAATCTGTATATTTTTCGCGTAGGATAAACCATATAGTTCTGTACGCTATTAAGAAGGTACCCTATGGGCTTCATAAAATTCCACTGCGGATTTGAACCATATTGTATAGTTTACAAGTAACATTAATAGATGTGGAGGTGCGCCGTTCTATGATTGGATGTTTCACAGTTTCAAGAATCTCATAATCAGAAACTTTTTTAAAAACGAGCGAAAAATTTAAAAGAGACGTGACGTGTTACTAAATGAGTACAAGAGCAGATATATTTGTGCATGCTCTCTATGAAATATATTCGAATTTAAATGGGCGCCAAATACCAGTGAAAAAGGCGTACTGCTTAAGTAATCGTTTTTATGGTGTGGTTTTCGCAGATGGCCTGGAAGATGCTCGTTTAAAATCCGGCATCCTGAGGTGACTGAAATATCTTGGGATTATGCTGCACGTCAACTAGTATTACGACCCTATTTAAGTGATCTTTCGGAGTCGAAGTATATTTTAGGACTTCGGTTAACATTTCATGAGATAACACATCAACTTTGTGTTGCCCATGGAGCTTGTTCTTGTTTCTTCTAAGAGTGGCCTCGCAACATCTGTTGGAAGGGTACGCATACGTGAAATTCGTCTCCCTACCGTCTACACTTTTAGTGTTGACAGTCCAGCGCATTTTATGAGTCAGTCTGTACGGGATTTTCATTCTAAATACTGAGGAGCTATGACCAAGAAAAGCAAGCTTTGCAAGGGGTTCTATAAAATATGAAAAGCCGCCACTTCTTGTTGGCACTTATCTGCGTCTTTCACTCGTTTATATACTATCGGCCTTTTGCAAGGTCTTGAATTTGTAGTGTCGAACCGGCCAAACCAACTGTGACAAATGCCGTTACAAGTAAACAGGTCGTGTGTCCCAGCCCTTGATGGACATGCGACGTTATATTTCGCCTTTCCTTGTAGGCCAAGTATGTCGACCCCGGCAGAGGATCAGGAGAACGAAGTCGAAGTGCTGGCGTCAATATACGAGGAGAACTTTCAGCTCAAGTCTTCCACTCCACCTTACGACTTTGAAATACGCATGAGGGGACATGCACCGGAAGCTGGCATTTCTTGTTCTCTGTACTTCAGATATTCCAAAAACTACCCCAATGAGGCACCGATCTTTGAAGTCCGACGTCCAGTGGGTTTGACCGAAAATCAGACTTCGGAACTTGTAATGTTAATCTCAGACACCATTCAGCGATCTCTCGGTGGCATCATGATTTTCGATCTTGTTTCCGAGGTTCAGGTCAAGCTAGACGAGTACTCGGACGCAGCCCTAGAACAGGCCAAACAGTTTGAGATGCAGACTGCTAAAGCGCTGACTCTGGCAGAGGAGGAAAAACGTTTTCACGGCACGCGTGTCACTGTTGAGTCCTTCAATGAGTGGAACAAAGCCTTTCTTGCCGAGGTTCAAGAAAAGCGGGCTCTTCTGGAGAAGAAGGTCGCCGCCTCGCAGGGCGTAGTCAAGCGTCTGACTGGTCGCGAGATGTTTCTTAGAGATGATAAGTTCGACGAGTCGGACCTCACCTTTTTGGAAGCCGAGGGTGGCGAGATTGTGGAAGTTGATGAACGCTTGTTTGTTGACATTGATGATGTTGACTTCGAGGACGAGGATTTGGATCAGCCTGTTATTGCCATTTGATTTTCACGCTTATCCTTTCTTTTTTGTCCTTATTTAGTAGCTATGGGACCGTTTCTCATGCATCCGCGGAGCTGTGTTGATTACTCTAAAATAAGCCCATTTATGTTCGCTCGATTTTGCCCCAACTAAAGATAGTTAGGAGACACAAAGGGTTGGGACTGGAAATTTTGATCTTGACGTGCTGTCGAGTTCGAAACGATACCTGCAACAAATTCGTACTGCGCAAGGTTAGTCCTTGTAGGCTGAACGGTGGTTTTACAAATAAGGTTCCCGGACCAGCTGTTCTGCATTCACGTTTTTTACACATATTCTAAGTGTTCTCTTTTGGGTGACTGTTACACCAGACTGATAGTTTTAAAAAAAACTCAAGTTATGACCTCCCGTAAACTCTCACTTCCGCAAACGCATGAAGCCACTCTTTCAGAGGGACAGTCCTATAAAATCTAAGGACAATACTCTATGATAAGACTCCCAAGTGTCTGAAATAAAACAATTTATTTATTTAATACAGACCATCTGCGAGGTTGGGGCAGACCAGAGTCAACAGTTGCTTGCAAGTTCCTGCTCACTTGAACTGGGATCTCGACGCCGGCTTTTTTCGTTGTGCTCCTGAGTCACGAAATGCCATTTGCGGATTACCGTAGTAGTTCTTAGTACCTAGTTGCAACCTTTAGAATGCCACTTAAGCAGATGTCAGTTGACGGCTGAAGTCTCTGGCGCCCGTCGAATCTCAAAGACCCCACGTTAACCAAGAGAGGTGGGCCCGGACCCAACTTTGCACAGATTCGTGCGAGGTCTTGTCAGATTCAGGTGATAGCGTTGTCTGCCGTGTTGACGACTGAATCGATGACCGGTCAAGAATGACCGCATTTCTCTATGAAGTATGTAGGCGCTTACTGATGGACCATATCATCTCCAGCGGGTGGCTAGGCCAGACTTTTTTTCCGCCGTCTCAGGTTGCTGCTTAGAGTGCATGCACTTAGCGACGCGACGGCACGATCTAGCCAGTTGCAGGGGGTCCACGCGTGGGTAAGTCAGTCGGCACACGGTATGCTCAAACTGATATCCTAGAAGCAGACCACTGCTTGGACGGTGGTCTTACGCTAGTGGGCTTAAGATGCCGGCGACTCAGGCAGCATCAGCCCTATCCCTTCCATACTACAGCCAGTATCCTGCAGCAAGACCGCGTCAACGCAACTAGAAGTGGACTTGGACGCAAGGGGTGGCCGTGCACTTGCTCCCGAAAACGCACGTGGAGGGTGCTGGTTCCTCTGCCAAGGTCTCACTCATACACGCGCCTCCCAGACTGCGCGCTCTGTTTTAGATATGACACGGCCGTCATACTCATAAGGGTACGTGGCGGGTTGGCAGTCTCCCATGACGGCAATCTTCTGGCACGATTTTGACTTTTTGGGGGTTAAAGCTCCCATTGGTGATCTGGCGCTTGACGTCAAATAAGCCGTGCTAGGTCAGGAAGGTCGTGTTTTGTCGTGCCACACGTTTCTCCGGCCGCGTAAGTGCCTAGTCACTGCCAAGCGTATGTACTGCATCTTAGGCGAAGACGCCACGCTCAGTTCCCACCGATCGGCTAGAAGACCCGGGCAGTCAACTGGCTCATTGGTGAAGTCGATGGCCAGGAAGCAGGCTTCATGGAGAACCGGTTCATCCCCCACTAGATCTGACGCGTTAATTCGTGGCTCTGAAGGCTGTCAGCTGACGACATAGTTCGGTCGCACCTTTTGATGAGACTGGACTGCAACGGCCCCTTCCTAGTGCGGTCTTTCTGTGGTAGATGGGCCCCTGCAGCACACTCCAGGCAGACGCCGCGTCATGTCTGGCGCCAGGCCTAATGTGATCATCAGTCAGCTTGACTCATTCAATCCGCTGAAGCATGTGAAAGGGAAAGTAAGGTGGACCAAGTATTTGATTCCTCGCTAAAGACAGTCGGGCATGCTTCACGCATTAACAACTGCGGCGTAAGTAATTGCAACTGATGGGGCAACAGAGTCCCACCGCAGGCTGCAATTGACCCTGAAAATGGCCTTTATGGCAATTTCGCTTCCACAGGGCTTAGGTTTCCTCGCCCTCCTAGTGGACGGCCCCTCGTACGGCGACTTGAAGGGGAGATGGCACGTGCAGGCGAGCCGTCTAGACTTGTCGGCTGCTGTGCATACGCCTACCACAAGTTAGGACATGGTAGACGTGAGGGATATGGGGGCAGACAGAGCGCAAGTTGGCTTCACCACAAACAAATTCACGCGCATGTCACCGCTCTGCGCACCTCGTGGAACACTGCTCCAACTCATCTGTCCAGGTTGTACTTTAAGTAGGATGCTCGACATAATTCCTTGGAAGCAGTTGCGCGCGCCCTTGCCTAACTAAAACAGATATGAGTGGCTTACTACGCCATCCGGAAATCCATAGATCATGTGGTAATGTGCGCTCACCATCACGGACCTAGACGGTTTACACAAGTTCTGCGATTTTTCTTTAGCGTATCATCAGATATGACATCAGAATCAGCCCAGTCGGCATATAAATGAGAACAAAAACGTGTATTTGCTGCTTTAATTATGGAGAATAATGAAATGTGTGAACTTCAAAATTTCATGCTAGTCCACAGCGTATAATCCAGGAAGCGGGTAAAGAAGGATGATGGGACAGAGACCATTTGCGCAGTGTATGGACCCATAATAGTGAAAACGTCACCTGGTAAATGAAATGCATGCTGACAATGCAGAGTTAGTGAAATAAGAAACAAGGATCGTTGTATCGTTTACTAGGAGATGGTACGAAGAAACACGAAGATGCAAAACTTAGACCTCGACATCAGTTGCGCCGCTGGTCACATTTGTCGCAAGCGGCGTTGTTGTCGCCGCGCTGCAATCGTCAACAGAGGAGCCAGCAATTGGGACTAAGAGATTCTCTTTGTTCATCAGACTGTATTTCAAAACGAAGGATGTAAAACGATGACATAAGGCAGTCTTCTCCTGAAATAGAGTTGAAATTATATCGTAAGAACAGGCTCTTTGAGAGGGTTGCGGAAAAGTGAAAAATTGGAAGAGCTCGGAAAGCGCATTGCTGTAAAACAGCAGACGGCTCCAGGGACTCTGTACACAGAGATAGGACAAGTGACGATAGTGATTAAGCGTGAAGAAGACTGCCTTACCTCAAATTCATCAAAAATCGCCCGATGGTGGTAATAAGCATGCGAGAAGATTCGGTAAACGCGCCGGCAAACCGAACCCAACTTGGCAATCGATGATTCCTTAATGGTAACCCTAGATGATGTATAATTAGAGGAGAAAAACGTACCGACTGGGGAAGTATTTGTTGCTGTTTAGGAGGCACGCCGCACCATCCAGGGTATGACGAGTATAATCAATGGCTGGACACTACAAGGAGAGAGGTCGACTGCCTGATAAGTCAGTGATCAAGAACAAGATGAGTGTAGGCAAAATCGACCTGCTACTGAAAGCGATAAGAAAACTTAGCTGGACCAAAGTCCTAACGTTTTGCAACTCAAACGTTGCCTGTCTCAAGAAACTGGAACCTTGTGCACATCAAAATCCTAAGTATTCGTTCATGCATTGGCGCGGAATAACTGATGGTCGATTTTTGGTAGTGTACCAGGACATCAGACAATACACACAATTCTTCAAAAACGCCTGCGGACGATTCGCTGGTGGCGAGGCAATATGGCAGGACTTCCTAGACTGACGTGATCGCCAGATAACATTGCGCAGGGGAATTAAAGCGCTAGCTCAAGGGCACAACTATAAGGCAGAAATAACAAGCAAGGTCATTAGTGACAATTGAGATTTTGCAGGCTGGCCAGTCTGACCTTAGGCTGCCGCGGCCTGTTAGCACTACCGTTGCTGGTCCGCAACTGCTTATTCGTTAGATCCAAAAGATGGTTTGGTTCGTAGCTAATTTTCACTGAAGGACATTCCATTATCTGTCATTCTTGGACGCACCAGATAGTCAGAGGCTTATCTAGGGGACCAATCCGTCTTCATGGTGACAATGTTGCGGAGCAGATTATGTTACAGAAAAGGCAAAATAACCTCTTTTGGTGTTTTATGAGCAGCACACAAGAAAATCCACTGTTCTGTTGCCGTCATTTGAGCACAGGTATCCGGAGTGCACTGCTCTTGTAGGCGTATGGCTAGGCCATTTAACTCCATGCAAAATTGGCGTAAATGCTCGTACTTCCACACCCCCTGGTCTTGTCCTTCCGGAGGCAAAAGAATTTCATCCACATTCCGGAAATCCTTCCTGATGAGTTGCTGTATATACTACACAATAAAAGGGTTAAATCGGCATTACTTGCTGGACAGCCAAAGTGCTATCCATCTCTTCAAACGGTTCACTAGGCCATTTACACCATTCCTGATATGGTGGAATAAAAAATTAACTTGCATCTACCTCTTGTTTAGTCCCGGGTCGATTCCGTCGTACAGCCTCGGCAGCAGGGGACATCCTCAGCAGCGATGAGGATGATGAACAATCGCACTATTCCCTTTTCCGCGATTATTTCAGCCCAGTAAAAGGAGCCAAAGTTTCTTGTGTTTTTTTGGGAGTTGACGTTATCAACTCTGCGAAATAAAAACTTAATTCAGGCAATCGAGCATGCGACACAAGTCTAGAAGGAAAAGTGCAACTATAGTCGCCTCCTTCCAGCGTTTTGGCTCCTTCTGGTACCCATTCTGTCTCAAAGTGCGTATCCCTGCTACGCATTATGGTACATAATTCGGTCACAATTAGCTCTTTAGTGTGCAGCTTAGACATTTAAATGGACATTTGTACAAGGAGAAACGTGTTCTGTCATAGAAAATAATGCTGATAACTGCTGCTGTCCACCGCTGGTCCTTGCAAGAGAATAAAACAACTGGCTAAATAAGCACATGTCAGTTCTTATGGGACTAAATGCATATTTATAAACGCTATAGGTGGTGTAGCTTTCGAGATGTTAACAGAACTTGTAAAGTGTTTTAACTGGCAACTTTTGCTTTTGCAAATCTATTTTTATGAACATACTAACCTTTTAACTCCGGTAGGTACCGTGTCGTCGAATAAAAACGTTGAGGTGATAGGATTTAGCACAGAATTAATCCATCAATTGATATAATTGTGCGTGTTTGCTATGACGTGCATGTAAATCTATAAGTAGGCGCATCAAATGTCAAACAGAAGAAAATGGTTCACATAACCGAGGTGCTATAAGGCTCACCAATGTTATTTACCACGTCGTCAGATGAAGTCATTGTTCGGATAACGTCTGAGCCGATGGCTTCTATAGAAAACTGAACGATTTTCGTGAATAACTCTAAATAAAACGTCTCACTTTCTGGCTGAGGTCCGGTCTTTTCTAGCTTCTAGGACCAGACGGAATTCCCGGGCTGATACTTAAGGAGCTATCAACGGAGCTGGCAAAGCCTCTTTCGACTCTCTTTGAGCTGTCAATGAGAACAGGAAGGCTGCCCTCACAGTGGAAGACAGCTAACCTCGTTCCATTGCATAAGGGAGGTAGCAGGATGACAGCAAGCAGCTTTCGACCTATTAGCTTAACTTGCCTCCCTTGCAAAACCATGGAAGCTATAGTAAAGAACGCTATACAGCAATTTTGTGAAGAAAATAACATCTTGCAGGATTTTCAACATGGCTTCCGGAGAGGACGTTCCTGCCTCTCAAATCTGCTAGCTTGTCTGGAAATCTGGACCAGGGCTCTAGAAGAGGGTTTTGAGGTCGATGTCGTGTACATCGATTTCCGCAAAGCTTTTGACACTGTCCCACACCAACGTCTTCTTCACTAATTGAGCGACATCGGCATCCGGGGAGATCTTCTGAACTGGATTAGGGCATTTCTGGTTGGTCGGAAACAATGTGTCTGTATTGGAGATGATATGTCAGAATGGGTGAATGTGACCAGTGGTGTGCCGCAAGGCTCAGTTCTGGGACCATTGCTCTTCATCCTTTACGTTAACGACAGCCTTCAGGAACTCGACTGCGGCAAAATAATGTTTGCAGACGACGTTAAGCTCTGGCAAGTCATTAAGGGTCCGAATGATCAGAGATCCCTTCAAGATAATCTGCACCGACTGCAAGCGTGGTCGAAGAAATGGCTTCTATATTTCAATGTGGAGAAGTGTGCCGTCCTTCATCTGCGTCCAACCAACTCTCATTCAAATGAGATCCTGAGGACATATCACCTGAAAGATATAAGGCTCCCCGCAGAATCTTCACAGAAGGATCTCGGGGTTTGGATACAGAACAACCTGAAACCAACACTGCAGTGCCACAAGGCTGCAAAAAACGCCATGGGAGTGCTGCATGCAATAAAAAGGGCTTTCGTAAATTTTGACCAAGACCTTTTTGGGAGAGTTTACGGCACATTTGTTCGGCCCCACTTAGAATATGGCATACAAGCATGGCGGCCGTGGCTGGTAAAGGACCAAGAATGCCTCGAACGGGTACAACGGCGTGCAACAAAGCTGGTAAACGGTCTAAAAAGCCATTCCTACACAGACAGACTGAATTGCCTTAATTTATTCCCTCTCTGTTACAGGCAGCAAAGAGGTGATCTTATCCTCGTCTGCAAGATAATACACGGCTTTCAGCACAGACTTAGCTTTGAGGACATGTTTCAGTGGCATCTTTCACCCAATCTTCGTGGTCACTCGATGAATTTACGGACAAGAATGTCCAGGCTGAATCTTCGTTCTGAATTTTTCACGCAGAGGGTAGTGGAGAAATGGAACGATCTCCCTCAGTCAGTCTTGGAGGCTACATCCCTGCAACTCTTCAAGAAACGCTGGGATGATTACTTGTGTCCCCTGTTTTTCCTCGACGGTCTGAATCTGAACTAATACCCCTGGTCCCCGTAAATATTTCCTCTGAGACAATGCTACTCAAATGAACCAAGTACTGTTTTTATAGTGGATATTTTTTGTTCGTGTACAGTTATTTCTAACGAGCTGACATGTAATCAATAGGGTTTCCAAAGGCTTTGCCTATTATCCTTACCAAATAAACGGAAAGTCAGGTGCCGTCTTGCAAACAGGCTCGATATGACGATTACTGGAATGCACGTTATGGCGAATGGGCTCTACACGTAAAAAAAGTAAAATTGTGCAAAATCAAGAATTTCACCACTGACGTCAAACAGTAGTGGACTGCCTAGAAACGACCGCTTTCCGGTGGGACTAGCAAAAATGTTAGCAAAGGGGTGGTACGGACATAGTAGTCAGGAGATTTTCGAAAAACCCATTTCCGGTCCTTTCTCAAAACATGGTGAAATGTTGATCAGAGGAAGAAACGATCGCTGGAACAAGGTCTTTATTCGCCTAACGTTTCGGATACTCACTTGAATCCATCATCAGGGACAGTAGCAGAAAAGGGTGACTCGTGCACAGGAAGCTGCAGTATTTATAGGATTCAGTCTCTGTGCTACCGCATACCTATAGCAATTAACCGCGCTCCCCTTCATGAAGGATCGTTGTCCGCTGGTGCGCTAATTGCTTGCTGGCCGGCATGCAAGTTGTTAATTACCGAAATGTCATCACTTGTGTTGGATGCTGGCGTGATGATTGCTCAGCCATCTGGCTCACCGGGTGGTCAATTACCTTGGCCAGCCTATGCCTCGGCACGGAGTATGGAGTGGACATGTCGTTGCTTTTGTTGATAGATTGAGGTCCCGTGAACCATGAGTCAAGCAACTCGCGGCTCACACGATTATCCCCTCTCGCGAGAATTCCGACCTCATTGAACTGCATCGGACTGCATCCTACATATACTGCAGCTTCCTGTGCACTTGTCACCCTTTTCTGCTACTGTCTCTGATCATGGATTCAAGTGAGAATCCGAAACGTCAGGCGAATTAGGACCTTTTTCCACCGATCACTTCTTCTGATCAACTAGATCCTCTTAATTCGCATCTTCGCTTGCATCGATAATGGTGAAATGTCTTATATATAAACCTTAATAGACATTTATACATGCTAACATACCGCTCCTTGTTCAAATTCGTCATCTGCCTACCTACAAAGTTTCCGTTAACCTCGCTGGTTCACAGCGGTTAACGCAAGATACGGGTCCTCTAGTTGGTGACTCTCGTCATCGCCTCCACTGCACTTAAATTCGCCGCAAACATTGTCCTCAGCTGTAGTAAGTCTTTTGGAGTGGTGAATATTTGCTTTGCAAACGAGGTCATTCTGTCCTGAGTGAATTTCAACGGAATTTCTAATAGTCCTACTGGAGTTACGCCAGTCTCTTCCGCATCAGCAGACAACAATCGTATTCGGCTGCTTAAGTTCGATCGTCTACAACCATTCTTAAGAAGCGATTTAATGAAGTTTTCTTACTGATATGAGGTCGCTAGTGGAGACTGAACTTGCCAACCTCTATCGAAAGACGGTTTTTATTGGTTTTCGACCTACATTTTTTTAAAAAAAGAGTGCTTTTTAGAGTATCGATGGTGCTGTCGGGCAATTATCCAACCGTCTGTCTGACTGCATTTGTGAATAGATAGTGTCTTCGACTTCGACAGAATCGGACGCTACCCTGCATCATGTCCCTCGCAGAACGCGATATCCTTCCTGACAAATTATCTCAAAGCCCCAAGCCGCCCCAGATTCGCTAATCGCCGACTCCCATCAGAATTCCACTCTGGCCGTTGAGATTTCAAACTCTCACACCCAGTCGTTGAGTTTCGCTGATCTTGATGTCAACTCTTCCTTTCGACCCCAAATTTTCTCTTGACGATCACGGCGTGAATCCTCTGTTTTCGCCATTTGCTAGCAGTTTGATCGGTCCCCAAAGAGAACTCAAGTTCACATTCTCCCCTCTACGCTTTGATGACCACCCTAGGGTTATGCCTCGTCCTCAGCTGGACTATAAGTGGACTGTGTCCCATTGCATCTAGGTTCCCTTGCCTTGCCACTTCGAGGCGGATAATCTCATGCGGTTTAGGAGGCACTGCCTTGGCTATTCGCGTATTGAATTCCTTATACAATACCATGTGCAGCCCAGTCCTGTTCGACCCGCAGATTCTCCTTTTTATGAGCGGCGGTTTTTTCTCCCCAAGAGTTAACCAACTCATGTTCATTTTGCATTTTTCATAAAGAGTTTTTCTCACCGCTCGCTGACCGTTTTCATATGTTACTGCTTGTTCTGCAAACATGAACTGAATACTGTACAGAATCTGCCTACTTGTTTTAAAATCTACTTGAAAATTTATTTTTACCTGCGAAAATGGGACCGCCAAAGGTCTTAACCAAAATAATTCACTTATTCATTATTTATGTCTACAAATAATGAGTAGTAGTACGGGACACTTTAGTGGTTCTCATTCCACTACCCAGACCGGTTGTCACAGAAAAGGAGAGCTCTTCTCTATATGCAGTCTTCTGCATCCGCCTTGTTTAAAGCCAGCTTATCTATCAGTACCCTTAGTAGATATACTTGTTCCGTCTGGGGACTGC